GGCACTCTAGCCCGGGCATCAGTTTTTGAGATTGTCTCAACACACACACACACACACACACACACACACACACACACAACCAAACAATCAAAACAGCTAAGTCATAAATTAGCTTGACAGATTCAAGGACAGAAAAACAGACAAAAGGAAGAGAAGAACCTGGTGACCACACGAGCTCTCAGGCCACAGAAGAGGTTCTGTGGGCATATGGTTCTAGTACTGTCTCAGCCACACACCCAGGGATGCCACACCTCTGAAGCTCCATGCTATGCTGCTGCTGCCTTCTGACTATCAGGAAAACTAGAGACATCAGACTGGAATATGCTCTCTGTGCAGGTACCAATCATATCTGATACAGGCTTATTGGTTTGGGGAATGCTGCAGCTAAACCTGATACGGACACACAGGTTTGGTGGAACCATGGGAATTCCAGTCACTTGGTCAGGTAGAGGCCACCAGGAGGTTGTACCCAGAGCTGCTACAAACTCATAGCCAGGTGCATGGCCATGAGATGCAATTCTCAGCAGCATGGCAATCCTGGCTGATCTTACCTGCTCTGTGTCAGATCGATTCCGCTTTCCTTCAGCTGGGGCTCCATCACTTCGGATCACTTTGGGCTTCCGTTTTTTGCTTGATTCTGATGACATGGCTGTTACTCAAGGTCAGGAAAAAATAGCAGAGAGCTATTAAGAGGAGAAAGTTTTTGAGATTTTCCTCTAGAATCAGAATGCTGAAGTCTAACTAGCAGTTCTGGCTACTTAAAGACTTAGTAACTCAGGAAAAGTCACTTAACCCTCCAAAGCCTCAGTTTACCCTCTGTAAAACAGAGAATCATCCCTCAGCCTATGCAAAATGAATTCCACCTCCTTTTCAAAAAAAGCATCACAGCCGGGCACAGTGGCCCGTGCCTATAATCCTAGCACTTTGCAAGGCTGCTTGAGGCCAGAAGTTCAAGAGCAGCCTGGGCAACATTGGAGATCTCATCTCTACAAAAAATTTAAAAATTAGCCAGACATGGTGGCATGTACCTGTAAGGCCAGCTACTCAGAAGGAAGAGGCGAGAGGATCACTTGAGCTCCAGAGTCTGAGGTTGCGGTGAGCTATGATGGTGCCACTGCACTCTAGCCCAGGCAACAGAATAAGAACCTGTTTGAAAATAAATAAATAAAAATTTAAAAAAATATATAAATAGGCCGGGCGTGGTGGCTCACGCCTGTAATCCTAGCTCTCTGGGAGGCCAAGGCAGGCGGATTGCTCAAGGTCAGGAGTTCAAAACCAGCCTGAGCAAGAGCGAGACCCCGTCTCTACTATAAATAGAAAGAAATTAATTGGCCAACTGATATATATATAAAAAATTAGCCGGGCATGGTGGCGCATGCCTGTAGTCCCAGCTACTCAGGAGGCTGAGGCAGCAGGATTGCTTGAGTCTGGGAGTTTGAGGTTGCTGTGAGCTAGGCTGACGCCATGGCACTCACTCTAGCCTGGGCAATAAAGCAAGACTCTGTCTCAAAAAAAAAAAAAGAAAAGAAAAGAAAAACCAATCCAATTAATGCCACTCCTGTGTCAAAACCTTTGCTGACTCTCATAATGTACTTATTGAAGAATGAAGTCCACATTCCCTGGCCTGGCATAAAAACCCTTCATGGTTTGTCCCCAACCCACCTTCCTGACCCCATTTCTTGCATTCCTATTCCTTGTAATCCTCCCACTGCCCCCAACCTCTGCTCCTGGCTGCAAGGGCAGATAGCACTCCCAGTTCCCAAAACACGCACGTTCTTTCCCCTGCTTACAATGATCTTCTTCCTTCCCTCTTTTACATCCTTCAAGACTAAGCAATGCTCACCTACTCTAGGAGGCCACTCAGGTCTCCCCAAAGTACCCCTTTGGGTACTCTGAATACACTATTAGGGAATTTATCTCTTTGAATCATTTTCTACCTATTAATAGATTGTGAGCTCTGCCCTCTTCCCCATGAGGCTGGCAAAGTGCTCCATAAATTAGCATCCAACCTCTCACTATGGCATATAAGCCCATTCCCAATACTATTGATTGACTGTGTACTGGGCCTTGATCTAAGCACTTTATGGGTATGTTCTCATTTGATCCTTATAAGAAACTTTTCAGATAAGAACTACTACCCATTTTACAGATGACAAAACTGTGGCTCAGGTGAATGACTTGCCCAAGGTCACATGGCTAGTATGTTAAAACTTGGGTCAATCTGATGCCTAGTTTTGCCAACATCTCATCTGGCAATGCCATCAACTCCCTGGTTGACCCTAAAACTTAAAGAACAGAATCTACATTTCATGGGGCTCTAGGGTCACAAAGCAACCTCCCTTGCCACCTTACCACAGCCTCCTGAAGTAGACAGCACCATCCCCTTAAACACAATCAATCTGTCAATACTTGAGGGAGACAATAGTAGAAGTGGGAGAGTCCTAAGTTGTAATATCCACTCCACTGTAATTTGATCGCTATGAGTCCTGGGACAAGTCACTTCACTTGTCTCCGGGTCTGTTTCCTTACAAATCAAATGAGAATAACAGTCACTACCTCAGGGTTGCTGTGAGCATTAACACAGGAGGCACTCCACTGGCGAAGGTGATGACGATGGCCTGGCACTGGGTCCTTAGATGGTGCATAGGTGATCTTAAATAATGCTGAACACCTAAGGAGAAAGTTAATCCCTTTTCAATCCTCTTTTAAAACTTCTGATTGCTTCAAGGCGAACATCTCAGTTCCCCAGTTTGTATTTAACAAGTATGAATGCCAATGTTCCTGTATAACAAAAGAACTCTGTCCCAGGGCCTTAGACTATGAAATCTAGCCAGAATTTAACAATGATGTGTTTCCATTATATTAATATATTAACTTTTATCTTTATTATATTAAATATACTAATTCCATTTCCTTCTGCATAAGACAAGTGAAAGCAGTTTTCCATTTATGTGGAGAGACTTAGAGTTTTCTTTCAAAGTAAATTTAAGTTTAAAAAGTAACTGGAGGCCGGGCGCTGTGGCTCACGCCTGTAATCCTAGCTCTTGGGAGGCCGAGGCGGGCGGATTGCTCAAGGTCAGGAGTTCAAAACCAGCCTGAGCAAGAGCGAGACCCCGTCTCTACTATAAATAGAAAGAAATTAATTGGCCAACTGATATATATATAAAAAATTAGCCGGGCATGGTGGCGCATGCCTGTAGTCCCAGCTACTTGGGAGGCTGAGGCAGTAGGATTGCTTGAGCCCAGGAGTTTGAGGTTGCTGTGAGCTAGGCTGACGCCACGGCACTCACTCTAGCCTGGACAACAAAGTGAGACTCTGTCGCAAAAAAAAAAAAAAAAAAAAAGTATAAACGGTCGTACAGGTGGTAAGTTGATTTGGCAAAACCCACAAAAGTGGGACCCCAAAAGTAAGCGTGGGAAATCCTGGCTTTGGCAACACAGTGGAGTGCCTACCACGCAGAAGCACACGCTAAATGTGAGCTATTACCACCACCGTCGTCGTCAGCAGGTTACCTCGTCACCACCATCAAGATGGGGATACCACAGTATCACCACAGGGTCAGAGGATGCTGCAGCAAACAGTTTTCAAATGAAGTAACACCACAGCGCCGAGCTGAACGGCCAGGGTCCCCGGATAGTGAGGACGGAGAAGCCAGCTCGGACCCCAGCCCAGGGGCGCACTTTGAGCAGTCAGCACCTCAGTCGCGGACAGCTGCGTCCCTCCCAGCCCCGCGGACCCGGGACCATCCTCACCTCACAGCTCCGCGCACCAGTCCCCCGCGTACAGGCCACTTCCGGCAGCGGAGAGACTGCGGCCCGCGCACCATAGAGAAGCGGAAGAAGGTTAGAGCGGCCAGACGGAAGCGACGCGAGGAGGCCGGAAGCGACGCGCGGAGAACTCCCACGGCTGGTGGCGTGCTATTCGTGGTGCGGGCCTTGGTTTGGTGGCGGCCAAGCAAGTAGGGGGCGAGTGCCAACTAGCTAAAACCCCTACTCAACCTTCTAAAACTGGGACACTTGGCACTCTGGGAGCCCGGGGCGGGCGGATTGCTCGAGGTCAGGAGTTTGAAACCAGCCTGAGCAAGAGCGAGACCCGTCTCTACTATAAATAGAAAGAAATCAATTGGCCAACTAATAATACATATAGGAAAAATTAGCTGGGCATGTTGGCGCATGCCTGTAGTCCCAGCTACTTGGGAGGCTGAGGCAGTAGGATTGCTTGAGCCCAGGAGTTTGAGGTTGCTGTGAGCTAGGCTGATCCCATGGCACTCACTCTAGCCTGGGCAACAAAGTGAGACTCTGTCTCAATAAAAAAATAAAAATAAATAAAACCGTGACACTGAGGCTGTAAGGGCAAAGACTCTAAGTGCCTTCTTCACTTTCCCCAGTGCCTAAAGCAGCATCTAGCTATTCGTGGGCGCTCCTATAAGCGGTTGTTGAGTGTTTGTGGTATACCCAAGATAATGAGAGGGCAGTAACACCAAGATTTAGTCCCTAGTGAATGGATTTGCCTCCATAACCTGGCTTCTTACCTACTATCATATTCGCTGTAATATGGCACAGCAAGTGGCAATGAAGGCAGCAAGTTAGGGAGGGCATCAGCCCCATTTTACACTTTTTTTTGGGGGGGAGGGGGAGGTGCATCTCCAGTTTCTCCATGTTAGGCCCGATTTGCCCAGGACAGAGACACAACTCTAATTCAGTATCTGAAAGCTTCAAGTGTTTCCAACCCCTGGCATGAATTGTACAAAGAGGGTCCAGGATTTTTCGTGTAAGTCCTACTTACCTGGAGCTAGTAACATGTAACCTGAATCCATGGTTATACAGGGCTAGTTTCTTCTGCCCTGCGGGAGGACGAAGATGCCCTCCCTGAGAATACATCACGAACACAATACTGTCCAGGGGGGTAGATCTGCATGTGAGACTGGGAAGCCTACCAGCTCTGTTCTGCCCTGCCTTGGGCACCTTTCTTCCTTCCAGATGAAAAAAAGACACCACGGTTTATAGTAAATATTTAATTGGTTCCATCAGCAATTCCAGCACAAGTTTTCTTGGAAGCGAGGCAGAATCAAGCTACCCAAAGGTTCATGAGGTATGGGGGTCACTGAGGAGACCCCCCCCCAGAGTCACTGACTCCACTCCACATACCTAGTGGCCCTGTAGAATGAGGGTTGGGCTCACAGAATGTCAAGTGGGGGAGAAGGAATGCAGGATGTGGGAAATACAGGCCCTGGCCTGTATTTCTACCTTTAGGAAGGATGGAAGGCAGGAGAGACTCCCTGCACAGAAGGACTGAACTACACATTCAAGTTCTCCTATATGTAGGGAGAAACGGACAAGCCTCTCTCCATCTATTTAGTATACTCCAAGTGGTATTCTGTCACCCGTGTTCTATCTTCCCAATTCTGTGTTCCAAATTCCAAATTCTGCAGTTCAAACCCAAGTTCTAAATTCTGAGTTCTATGTTCTACATTCCTGTTACATGTCTGTCTCCTGTCTAAATCGTTCCTGGCTCCCATCCCTTTTCCCAGCCTCTCTGGGTGGAATATCCAGACCTCCTTTGGATCTTGCTGATTTGAGGGGTTTCTGTGGCAGTTCCTGGCTTTTCCTCAGCAGGAGGGACTTGGCTCAGACTGTCCATCAAGTGAGTGGCCCAGTGGAGATCAGGGAATCCTCCAGGGCCTGGCCTGACCCCCTTTCTTCCTAGGCCACCTCTAACCACTAGACATGCTACCTTTTGTGCAACTAAGCTAAACCGAGGATTTCCATGGTGACTATTGGGGCCTAGTGGCCTTGAGATAAAGAATCTTAGGAGGAGATAAAGGAGACCTAAAAGATTGCTATTTTTCATTCAGGGAAATTAGAAACTACTTCCAGCAGGGGAAAGGAGGCAGGTGGCGAAGGCAGGAAGGGTCTGGGCAGAGGTATATGTCCTCAGAACCTTGTCAGCCTTCAGTTCCCCCTTGTCTGAGCTGAACACTGCCCCTCAGTCCTCCCAAGAGCCAAGAATAAACCAAGACAGCAGGACCAGGAGCTCCTCTGTCTGGGGTTGCCCTGAGGGAGTAGGGGAAAGAGGTGGAGGTGTCAGCAGCATCATTGCAGAGGAGAGATCTTCAAGGGGATCATGATCCGAGACTCCATGTGTCGCACCAGGGGGACTGCAGAGAGAGGCAGAGGTCACAGAGGGGGCTGAGGCATGCCAACAACCTCCCCGGCCCCCCAACAATAACCTTTGAAGGAGGAAGGCCCAGATACTGAGAAAGGAAAGCCCCACTGCCCCTCTGGAAGGGCCCATGGAGAGCACCAGGTCTCCCAAATTATGGGATAAGACAGGACTTAGATGGTAAGGAGATGAACATTTTCTTAAATTTTAATAATTATAAATTTATTTTCCTATGTCTTATGAAAAAAACTAGCATAGTTGAAAAATTGATTTCATAGATTTTATTGCAAAGAACAAAGCTAGATGAAAAACAAAATAGAGAGATTTAAAGAAAAATACCAAGAAAATATTTGGGCCGGGCGCAGTGGCTCACGCCTGTAATCCTACCACTCTGGGAGGCTGAGGTGGGAGGATCACTCAAGGTCAGGAGTTCGAAACCAGCCTGAGCAAGAGTGAGAGCCCATCTCTACTAAAAATAGAAAGAAATTAATTGGCCAACTAATATATAGAGAAAATTAGCCGGGCATGGTGGCGCATGCCTGTAGTCCCAGCTACTCGGGAGGCTAAGGCAGAAGGATTACTTGAGGCCAGGAGTTTGAGGTTGCTGTGAGCTAGGCTGACGCCATGGCATTCACTCTAGCCGGGGCAACAGGGTGAGACTCTGTCTCAAAAAAAAAGAAAGGCCAGGGCGTTGGGTGGATCACGCCGTGTAATACTTAGCACTTTCTGGCGAGCCGAGTGGGCGGATTGGCTCAAGGTCAGGAGTCAAACCAGAGCCTGGCAAGTACCCGTCTCCTACTATAAAAAAAATAGAAAGAACATAATTGGGCATAAGTATATATAGAAAAAATTAGCCGCGGCATGGTGGGCGGCATGCCGGTGGCCTCAGCTATCGGGAGGCTGAGGCAGAAGGATTGCTTGAGGCCAGGAGTTTGAGGTTGCTGTGAGCTAGGCTGACGCCACGACACTCACTCTAGGCTGGTCAACAAGCGAGACTCTGTCTCAAAAAAAAAAAAAAAAAAGAAAAGAGTTGTAGTGGTAGGACACTGCTTGGACAAAAGCTGTGAGGGGGTCCTCAAAGGGCTACGATCTGAAAAACACTGATTAGTCCAAGTGCCCCATTTTACAGATGGGGAGGCAGCAGCCCAGGGAGGGTCAGCTCAAGGTCATCAAAGAAGTTAGACTCTTCCTGCTCAGAGATTTTCAGACTTTAACGTGCACGCAGACCACCTGCAGTTCCCATAGTGATGATTCTGATTCAGCAGGGTGGCAGGGGGGGTGGGTGGTGGCTGAGATTCTACATTCCTAACAAGCTCCTGAGGGATGCTGATACCATAAGTTGGATCCACACTTTGAATAGAAGATTCCCGCTGACTCGTTCAACAGACATATTTACCCTCAGACCAGCTGAGAAGTGTTCACTGACTCCCAGAGGCAGCACTCACCTGTATAGTAGACATTTTCGTCCCAGCCTCTCTTCCTCCAGGCAGCATTTCGAGTCTCCTCCCGAGACTGCAGGTCTTTATAGGCTGTGGAAAAAGCACAGGCTCATCCCTCAGGCACAGAGGATCTGATCCCTCCCCCAGCGCAGGGCTCCTTTCCCACTGCCCAACCCCTGCCCTGCTGTCTCTCCTTCCCCAGATGCAGCTCTGTTCTGCCCTGCCTTGGGCACCTTTCTTCCTTCCAGATGAAAAAAAGACACCACGGTTTTCTCCCTTGGACTGTTAGCAAACACTGTCCATCTAATCAATAGATATGTTGATAACAACTACATTTATATTTCCAGTCCCAAACTCTCCTGAGAGTGACAGTGGAGGAACAAGACTAATAAAAGGCTCCTGGAAGGTCCCCAACCTACCCCAGAGATGGTGCACAATGTACAGCTCTCCTATCTGTGAGAAGAAGCCGCCCACTGCTTCCTGGTTCTCCTGCCGGTACTTGATGGCCCGAGCCCTGGAGAAGAGCACAGGGCAGAAGCCAGGGCTGGTGCAGGGGTCCCCTGAGATGGATCGAGGCTGACTCCCAGGAGAGGCCTGAGGTAGGGCCACAGCCCTCTGAGGTGATGGGGGAAAGGGCTGATGGAGGTGGGTGTTCTACAAGGGAGGCCGCACAATCCTCTAAGAGATCCTCACCTCCTAGTTGGATCTTTCTCCCAGGTCCACCAAGGGCAGAGGACGCTGGGTTCCCTGTGATGTGGCCCCTGGGAAAGGCGGCCCATGGTGGGGCAGGTGAGCAGGCTTCCCCCCACCCCCAGCCCTGGTGCTGTCACTTACCAGTTGTTCCCCCACTCGATCATGGTTCCTGGCTGAAAGAGAACCACAGGGAGGGTGGGAGTGAGCCCCCACCTCACATTCCTGGTGTCACAGCTGGACAGGAATGAGAAACTGTCCTGTCGCCCTAGCTCCAGGGGCTGCTTGGCCTGGTTCACGGGCCCTGACTCACACCTGGCATGCGCGTGTGCACCTGTACATACACACCTGTGCTCTGAACCCACAGGAAGGGAGAGGGCAGATGCCCTAGGCTAGGTGTTGGGCAGCTAATGATCCCCCTCGGGCAGCTGCAGAGCAGCACCACAGCAGGAAGTCGGGAGGCAGGAAGGGTCCGTCAGAGGGAGGCACCTTGAGCTTGTATGTCCTCAGCTCATAGATGTTGGGGCCTGCTCTGGGCAGTGGCTCATTCCAGAAGCTGAACTCAAGAAGCAATTGGTTTCTCCTGGATAGCAGCATCTGGCTCCGCTCCTTTCGGAACTCCAGGTACTCCTGCAGGCGCAGTGGCATGGGCACGGCTGTCAGGAAGCACACCCCAGCCCGACAGTGTGTCCCATGGGGTAGGGAAGAGCCCCAAGCACCGGGCTGGGCTGGAACCAACATCCAGAGAGGTTTGCCGAGGGGATGCTGACATACCTTGTTGTTTTTGAGCTTGTTCATGCAGTCCATGAGGGCTGGATAGCCACCTGAGAATCGCCACAGGTGCACTGTGGGGGGTGAGAGGTGCAGGTCAGGGGGCTGCTGGATGCTGCCCTGTTCACCCCAAGGCTGGATGTATACATATGTGGCCGGGAGTTGGGAGGTGTGTCCCTAGTTCCCTGTAGCACCAGCACTCTGAGTTCCCATTGCCTCAGTGGTGTTGGGGGGAAGGGGGCAGGGCTGAGGTGGGGATGGCCCCAGACACAGGTCTAGGACACTTAGGTTTGAGCTCCAGCTCTGCCAGGTGACCTCTGACTGATGCTTCTAGGCCTCAATGTTTTCATCTTGAAAATGGGAATAATGCTTCCACCCAGCCTTCCTTAAACAGCATTAAGATCAGATGTGTCTGGTACCCTGGGAACAGCAGCTTGCAAAACGATGACCACCAGGCCTCTGGTGGGCAAAAGGCTGGGGTGAGGCTGATGGGCTCATATGGAATATTCCAAGACAATAAACTGAAGAAAAGAAACCTGCATGGTTGGCCGGGCGTGGTGGCTCACGCCTGTAATCCTAGCTCTCTGGGAGGCCGAGGCGGGTGGATTGCTCGAGGTCGGGAGTTCGAAACCAGCCTGAGCAAGAGCGAGACCCCGTCTCTACTATAAATAGAAAGAAAT